CTTGTTTGAACCTCCGGCATGCTGCTTTCTTTGAAGACAAAATTCGCGATAAAACTATGGCGGAGGGAGGGGAAGGGTAGATCGATTGGAGGAAAATTAAATATGAATAAATAAATATAATCATTAAACACAATTCCATCACGAGAAATAAATTGCTATTGTTACAAAATACAACAACATTGGTTCTAAGAAAATCCAAAAAGAGAATAGTATATTTTTGCTTGAAAAAAACATGATCCATGTTAACTCTTTTGGGAAAACCGTGCGTATCTGTGCGGCCAGCTTTCTAGTAACGCAGCAAGAGGTATTAATTCGTTTATACTATCGTCAATGCGCTGCTTATAAATAACGATTTAAAAAAAGACTATTCGATATTACTTAAGCATAAATATTTACTTCTTTCTTAAAAATTTAAAACCGAAATCGATTCTGCACTAAAGTACTTTAACGGCTTCGCTTTAAAAATAATGGTTTTCATTATTGTTGGAAAACTTGTGTTTGTGCTTTCAGACATGCAGCTTTCTAGAAAAGTATCGTTAACCTGTGAACTCTATTGTAGTATTGCTATTAGTTGTGAGGTATTCGTATATCGACTGCTCATACATAATTCCATTATTTTACTATTACTGGAAGAACAGAAATTGATCCTTTTTATAACAATAATAATAATAGTAATAATAATAATAATAATAATAACTTTATTAGTCAGGGTTCGCACCTTACCATAATTGATAATTTTCAGGTGGTCCTCGACATAGACAAAGCCCTTGCCACTTTCCAATCGTTTAGCAAACAGCACGAAATAATGGCATTATTGAAGATATGTGTAACGCATTGAGAAATGTAGATTTTTTAATTTTTTCCAGAGATTTTGTCAAGGCCATAGAGTTGGGCAAATTAGAACCAATATTTCGAAAAATAAATATTGAATACTTCGACTATTTGTTGCGATAATGATTAGATTTAGAAGTTTTGTCTAATGATTATTCAAATAAAAATCGTTAATACACGAAATGCCTCTCCAATCGATCCCCCCATTCCCCTCCATCACCATAGATTTATCGTGAAAATTATTTTCAAAACGACTTTGGTGTACTATCGGGTTTTTAAAAGAATTCTTTCTTTATAAGAGCAGCCTCATAGACGATAGTAGATGGCACACGGCAAGGGGTCTATAAAAAGTGGCATGTCTAAACGAAATTAATACCTCTTGATGCCTTACTAGAAAGCTGGCCGCACAGATACACGCGGTTTTCCTAAAAGAGTTAACATGGATCATGTTTATTTCAAGCAAAAATATACTATTCTCTTTTTGGATTTTCTTAGAACCAATGTTGTTGTATTTTTTAACAATAGCAATTTATTTCTCGTGATGGAATTGTGTTTAATGATTATATTTATTTATTCATATTTAATGCTCCTCCAATCGATCTACCCTTCCCCTCCCTCCRCCATAGTTTTATCGCGAATTTTGTCTTCAAAGAAAGCAGCATGCCGGAGGTTCAAACAAGCTTAAAGAATGTCAGCAGACTGAAATACAAGATACTCTCTGAAACTATGGACTTGTCAAGGAAAAATATGTTTCTTCTCAGAGGGGTTGATTTGTAATCAAAAATTATATTAATGAATCAAAGTGGTTCAGTTTTATCTTAGAGACAATCTGTCAACCAACCAATCAGGAAAAGATTCGTAGTGATTTATGGTTCTTCAMGTTCAGGGTATTACAGAGAAACCATTAGTTTTGCCAWCAGTTTGGTTTTTTCAGCTAGCGTTAACCAACACTGACTTACCTCTCAGTCTGCTCATTCTGTAGCCAATCACCTTACTATGTTGATCTACGCTGTATTTCTTGTCTTGGCCATTGTGACCAGTGCCGAGGTGTCTGAGGTTGTTGGTAAGAACTACCCTAATGTTGTCTTGTAGATTGACGTTAGCTGCGCATAGAGTGGGTACATACCATATATCGGTGAAAAAGTTAATTTTTGTAGGTCTACAGTCTACTGACGGCTACAAAACTTACTAATTCATTGTGCAAATTTGTGCAGTTTCTTACAAAGTTTTACACAGATACATGGCATGCACTATACCTATAACACTTTGCACTAATTTGTACAATTTTGTTAGTTAACTTTTTCACATATTTATGGTATGCTATCTATATAAAGATTGATGATAATTTTTCAACCATTTGGTATGGTGTTTTCCAAGATCTCAGGCTAGGTTTCCATCTTCAGGGAATGTTTTTAAAATGTTGTTACACGTCATTTAAGCAAGCTATAATGTTTTGCAGCAGACATTCCTTAAAGACCGATAGAGTGCACGCCATATATCGGTGATACARGTAGRAYGYTGCAAATTGTAATATTTTCACAGCYGAYCAAGGTAGATTCCTTTTAGAATTGAAAATGATCCATGAACTTCGAGTTAGAAACGGATTTTTTAATGAAGTCTTTATAAATATGTATCATCAAAATCGATTTGCAATGTTTTGAATTGAGCTCGACTTTGAAATTCAAGTTTGGAGTTTTCCTTTAAATCGTTATAAAAGGTTAACGGCGTGTGGGTGGAAAACATTCCGGAYAAAGACCTTTCTTTTGCCTYRTTTGTTCCTTCAAATTCCAATACATTTAACCCTCAAGTCGGACTAACCATTCAATAGTCGAGGAAAATGGATACACCGGCTCTAAGTTTGCTTTATTCGGGCTTTTCTTTTCGCGAATCGTAATTGAGTCGCTGAGTATGATTATTTTAACGATTGAAATATTCATGACTCATCTGTGTCGTAATTTATTCCTGGTTCTACACCATCTTTATTTCCTAGTATTTTATTAATTTCCATGAATTCTTAGAAGAAAAATAGATTCAGGAATTATAGTTTGATTTTAATGACATCGACAAAGTCACAAATTTTGAGGTAAAAATTATAATTCTTGAGAAGGTATGCATGAGAATTTATGGGTGTGGAAGAAAAAAACAGGACGCGGCTAGTCAGTCCTCAGTTGACCGAATATCTGTCAATTTTGATTTCATATAACTTCATTGGGATTTCGATAGCAATAATTAAAACTTCCGAAAGTAATACATTTTTCGTTGCCTTTGTTGAAGTTAGTGCTTTAAAATTTGTATTGTCAAGTCAATGACGGCAAGATTTGCATAACCAACATGGCGGCAATGACGTCACACTATTATGCTAATTAGTCACTTAAAGCAGCCGAACTGAAAATTAACCACAATTTTTCGTGTGTTTTTTTTTTTGTAGATGATGAAGGTAAGCATTCCTGTGCGGAGAGCGATTGGGTGAAAATTAGCCGCCACGCTGTCTGTTTCGAAGCATTAGGAGACCACTACGGTTCGTTTCACAACTATGTCCGAGGAGGAATAGTCGCCGCCATAAAACTGGAGTACGTGTCGGGAATGGTGAACTGTGTCGCGGCAGCCGGGGGCAAAAGTCATTGGGGTTGCAATAATGATTATTTTAAAACCCATCCGCTCGCTGTTGTGCTGACGGACAATAGAAACAATATGTTGTTTCCTAAGAAAGAATTTATCACGTAAGTCATTCTAGTTCTATTCAATATTAGTGGATGAAAAGGAAAGGGAAGTGGGAAGGAAAAGTGAGAGGGACAATGTAATGGGAAAAATTAAGAGAGAGAGGAAAGGGAGGAGGGGAAAACGGAAGGGAAAAAGAAGGAAAAGGAATGAGACACGAAAGTGAAATGAGGAGGGAGAAGAAAGCTGGCAAGATACAGACAGAAAGACAGAAACTCAGAGAGCCAGCCAGCCACAAAAGAGACAGACAGACAGACAGACAGACATCCAAGCATCCAAAACAAAAAACTTTAAATCAAAAATTTTTGGCATTTGTTGTAGGTACCCCTATGGTGTTTGGTATTGGTTGCCGTTCGTTCACCCCTTAGACAAAGAGTTGATCTTTACAGATTACGCTACGCCAATCTACTTCCCCTTGTATAAAGAAATGAGGATCTGGTACGGAGAAGATCTGAAGGATGCCTGGACCGGAGCCGAAGGAGACAACACGGGTCGTGTTTGCGTCAATGTGTACGCTAGATTCAAGTTATAGACTGTTTGTCAATGTCGATTTGCGAAGTCAATAAAAACAGTTAGTAAACTGACCAAAACTTTCAGTGAGTTATTATAGTTTTAATCGTCATTTTACCGTGTTTATGACTACAGAGGGGGAAGGGGGGAGGAGGGAGGGGGAGGAGGTGAGATGATGACTACAGAGAATCGCCGAACTCGGAAAGTTAGGTTTCTGGGTAGATTTCAATTCACACATACGTCCTTTCTCTGACATACACTTTTGTCGAATATATTGAGTCGATGAACAAGACACACATGTGTTAACACTACACTTCCTATCGATAACACGTGGGTATCTGTATGGGAAAGAATTTTGCGCTACTGAATAGTAAAAAAAAACAAAAACCACCCCCTGGGGCAACTACATTTAGCTTGGCAACATATTTTTTATTGGCTTTTATTCAGGATTTTTTCTCTGGATTACTAGTGCTTTTCATGCTTTTATATCACAGCGGGTCAACATAGTGTTAATTATAACTAGTATAACTTATTGACTTTCGCAAAGTCAGCCACCCTTTGTGTATATATCAATAAATAAACAGAAGAAGACAAAGTTTTTGGAGCAAACTTAAAAACTTTGATATACATAAAGAAAGAAAGAAATGGCGAATGAAACCAAAACCTGATGATGTTTAAATTTCATAATACAAATTCTAGCTAATTCTCCATTTTTCCCTTGAAAACCTTAAGTTCAATACATAAGATAACAACTATATTATAACTCCAACAATTTCAGCATTTTAACCTACCATTCATCAACAGTATGACCAACACAGTTCTCGTACAGCTCATTGTCAGTAGACGTCTCCCCATTAATGTGCCAAACTAGTTCGTGAATAAACCCTTAGGAGTATGGAAGTCGCAGTTGATGATGAAGCTTCTTCTCTGTACATAGATTCTTGAATTTCGAATTATTTACCAAGTGAATTCGTACTTGATCCAAGCATTCTTTTCACCGAATACACAAGGAGAACTTGAATTTTCTCAATAAAAACTACTTGTAGTAGATTTGAGAACCTTTATAGCAGCATGAATTGAATTTAAAACTTGCGAAAGATATCTATAAGCGAGAAGGATTTTAAAAACTTCTACATTCTTTGTCATGTTGATGAATTCAATCTTCCCAACGTCCAACAATCATATGCTGCCCGCGATTTTTTGGCCAGCGTTTGCATTGAAATAGTGGACTTCCGGTTACGACGGCCATCCGAGGGAATGGCGCGAAGGAAACGAGAAGCCGAGAGTAAACTCGGCACATTAATATTCTTCAGGTTGGTGGAGGCTTTGAATTTGATCGGCATGTTATCGTTTGAATTTTCAGAAGAGCAAAATAAAAAGGAAAGAACGAAAAGGGAGAATATGATGATGTTAATAACAATTTTTTGGGGAAAAGGAAAATTTAAGAAATAAAACAGCTCCGTGCTCCGTTCAATAAAAAAGGACGCAGGAAGTGCATTAGCACGAACCGTAGGCGAGTGCTTCTGACACTTCTTGAGTGCTTTACGGCGCTTCCTAAGTGCTTTATAACTGAACGGAGCACCGAAAAAGCTGTTTTATCGGTTTTATTATCAAAGTACTAATTTTATTTTGGTCTTGAATTTATTCACGCGAAAAGAAAGACAGCACTGTGCTCCGTGCAATAATTAAGCACAGTTTTCGACCAATCAGCGCGCACGTACCATCTTAACTATATGATATATAAAATAATGGAAAAATTATTTAATATTTATCAATAAGTTTTAAAATACTTTTTGTAATTATTTTAGTTTTGTTACTATTTCACAATACAGTGTCGTTAATCAAAAGCCACGCACTTAATGCTTTCTCAGATGCCGCGGAGCACCCGTACTATTATCATTAATTATTATTATTATTATTATCATTATTTATTATTATTATTATCATTATTATCATCATTATTA